TTCTTAAATTCTATATGGAGGATTGGATTTTTAAGTTTTAGAGGTATTGAATGGATAATAATTAGTTTAAGTAAGTGTATGCAAATTAGGGATATAAAAGGAGGTGAATTATGAAGTGGTGAGAGGATTATGAAGGGATTTTCGTGCTTAAAATAACATTTCTGGGTTTTGTGCTTCGATACACATTCAATGTGTACCGATGCACTCTCAAATAAATAAACATCAAATGCAATTAGTGCATTGATGCATAAGGAGTGCATCGATGCATGCATCAATGCACTCCCTTAAGAAGAAAACATCGAATATAGTTTGTGTACCAATGCACAGGCAGTGCATCGATGCACACCTTAAGGAATGCATCGATACACTGTAGAGTGCATCGATACATACCTTTATTAAGAGATGAAAATAACCTATCTTTTAGCCTAAGAAATGATAGTTTAGAATATATTAATTAGTATATTGATATGTATCAATGTATTACTATGTAGATAGGCCTGTAAACGAACAGAACGCACACGAACGGAGGTATGTTCATGTTCGTTCATTTAAAAAATAAACGAACACGAACATAAAAGAACAAATTTTTTTTTGTTCGTGTTCGTGTTCGTTTATTAAGGAATATAACTTGTTCATGTTCGTTCATTTAAAAAATGAACGAACATGAACATAAATGAACACGAACATAAATGTTGGAGACCCTACCTTCCATTGTTCTTTCTTGAAAAATAGTCGACAATGCAAATCAACCAAATCTACAGTGATAAATAGCGTAAGAGCTGATTAACAGTGATGAAATGTTTGAAGATATTAAATATTTCAATCGATCTTTTAAAGATATTAAATGATTCACACGACTTTAATTTAATGCTATAACATTTATCTTAGTGGTCCAGATTACATATGAACAATCATTTTCCACTACTTTATTCTAATAAATTCGCTGGCTAAAAGTTTTGTAACATCAATGTCAGACTTTAGTGAGGTTTGTTAATAATGGTCCTTTTCGTTGGCAGAGTAGAAAATTTAACAACATGAAGATTTCGAACGATAAAAATTGGACTACAATGCAATAACATATATCTGAAATCCCTTCGATACTACATATCGTAACTGATATTATTGCTAAACCACAATTCAAAATTTTAATGTACCTAAAGTCTACTCCACAACTAAAGGTCACACAAGAACTATGAAAACAAAAGTTCATTGTCAAAGTGTATTTTCTACTTATTAATGGGTTCTTCCTAGAAAACCTATTACTTCCGCTATTACACTCATTTTCAGAAATTGCATAGAAACCTTTGTTTTGTTTTCTGGCAAATTATATATATATTTTTCTTTACTGATGCTCATATTCTTCCGATTGTTACCTTTATCTTCCCATCTATTTCTAGAAAGAAGTATGATGTTTTCTTGAGTTTTAAATGTAAAGATACCCACAATAACTTTAGATATCAAATATTAAGCCAAATAAAATAGAGAAAGAGATGAACACAGACCTGTAAAACTTCATATTGCACTATAATATAACTTGTTTTGAAGCTTTCAGCGATCGTCTCCACTCTCCAGTGAACACTAGGGTTTGGGAAAAAAAGGGAAAATGAATATAGGTACGAGGTGCCTCACGGGTTAACATATTATATTTAATCTCCAAATAAAATTGGGTTAATTATGGAGTTGGTAATCAGAATATCAGATTAATTAATATTTTTAAGATATTTACAAATTGGTCACCAAAATTGATTTAAGAAGATTGGGTTAAACATAAATGAATGAACATAAACAAACATAACCGAACGAACATAAACGAACATAACCGAACGTTCACGAACGAGACCTATGTTCATGTTCGTTCATTTAATTAAACGAACACAAAATCTTGTTTATGTTCGTTCATTTAATAAATAAACGCACATAAACGAACTTCCCACCGCACGGTTCATGAATGGTTCGCTGAACGTTCAGTTCATTTACATGCCTATATGTAGATACAGAACGTAATATTGTTCCGGAACAATCGAAAGATTAGTATCGAGTCAAGCAAGAAAGGTTAAGGTGAGTGCATATCCTAAATGAAATTGTATTGAGATAAGACTTGCGATGAGTCTATCTCATATAGTTGAACTTATAATTTCATTTTCATGCACATGCATTTTATATATGTGTTCATGTTATGGTAATTTCATACATGATTCATTTAGGCTTTAAATATGAACTTATATGAATGAATTCAATTATATGAGAATCCATTCAAGTAGGGGAAATAATGGAAATGATCATGTGTACTCATATGAAGTGAATTACGTGTTTATGTGAAAAGTGATAGAAGAGATATGGAAATGAGAATTTTATTTATCATTAAGCCCATGTTATTTAAAATGAGAGATGTAGGTATAATTAGCATGCCAAGAGTCGAGGGATTATCAGTGGTCCTTCGGGATATAGTGGTCCTTCGGGACAAATATTCAGTGCCCCTAGTGGAATTTTATTCAAGTTGTGGTGACAAATTGTGCACAACCTCAGTGTACTCGCGTACCTTCTGTTCTCGATAATGTACATGGGCAATCCAAAGATAAATTAAAGTGAAATTAGCATAAGAATATATGTTTTATATGTGCATGTCACCATCATATATGTTATAGTGTAACATATGCATGCAAATTAAAATGTCATGATCAGATGGTAAGAATGCATGTTCATGAATGCATTGTTATATCTATATATTTATATTATGCCTCACTAAGTCTGTGACTTAGCGTGTAAGTAATTTACACACAGATACCAAGAAAGCAAAAGGTCATAATTAGGAGTGGCAATGATAGCATCACTACTAGAAGATCAGATCAGAAGTAATTAACAAAGTATATGTTTTGTTGTATTTAGTGTGTTGTCATGTAAATAGTTGTTAACTACGAATGCTCTGGTCGGTTTTATATGGATTTAGTTAACTTTTTGTAAGTCAACAACTTTTATTGTAATGAAAGTTAAAAAATTTCTTTGGTTTTCTTTAAGAGTCAAAGTTTGAAAAGTCAATGTGACACCTCAGACTCGTATCTGGGTCGGGTACGGGTTGGGGGTGTTACAATTAGAGCCTCCACTTTAGGTTAGATTTCATTTTATTCCTCTAATTTAGGGAGTGATCTAAGTTGGCCCTCGCCTTCATGCTCAAGGGACCATCTCGATTATTCGATTTAATAACTAGTTAAAATCAAATAGGGTTAATATTAGATCATCTATTTCTAGATTTAGTGCCCTAGGTTCTTTAAATTACATAATTTGACACTTTAGGATATAAACAATAGCATAATTATAAATAATAAAAAGTTGTTTGGTTGCATTTGGATTTAAAATAACAAGGCAATGTTGATTTACCAAGGATTTAATGGCGTATCCTCCGTATTATGCTCAGGGGGTGATTGCTAGTAATTCTCGAAGTAGATGAACATCCTTTTTAAAACTCTTCATTTTTAAGAAAAATATCGAGGCAATAAACGATTATTGGGCTCCCACATTCATACTTGGGGGTGAATATTATTGGCTTTAATAAACTAACACACTCTTCAACTCTGCATCTATAGTGATTTCTAAATTAAATAAAACTTCGAACTCAAAACTTTCGATTTCAAATATAGGATAATCGACTAGATACCAATTTTTTTGCGCCGTGGGGATGCTAATGCTTCCCCACGCGTAACTGACTCTTGATCCTGTTTTTTGGTTTTTGCATACCCCAAACTTGATATTTTGATAAAATAAAAATGTTTCATTAAAATTATATGGTTTTTATGGTGTTCCAATCGAACCTTAAAATGATTGGTGGCGACTGCCAACATTTCCTAAAATCATTTCGCAAACATTTCAAAAACCCCATCATTATAACTTGTCGGCCTTTCCCCCGAGGGGCCGGTTGCGACATAATTTTACTTGAATTGTAAGTAACTAGAAATGAAAATAACTCAAATAAAAAACAAGTAAAATTGAAAGCAATTCGAATTTAATTTACTTAAATATGATCAAATCTAATATATCAATACTTTTATACATAGTCAATTTGACTCATACCCAATTCAATCTAAATTGACTTAAAGATCTAATGGTTGGTCCGAATAAAAAGTTGATAGATATGATATTGGAACGACCCTGTACTCTACTTGATTTGATTCCCAAATGCCACTTTCTAATGATGATGGCTTTGAGATGTTCGGTTATTTTGTTTTGCGAAGGTAATACCATGGTTCATGAGCGAGGAGTTTGACCACATGCCTCAACTATGCCCTGTTATCCTGCCCATAAATCAATCAAATGAAACTTTACACGAGAATATTTTTTTGATTAAGTTAAGGTGATTATAAAGTAATATATGTTCTTAATACTCTCAATCATTTGATAATGACCGTTCAATCACCCTACTGCAGTCACTGATGCTCGAACGTGTGACTTTTAAGAACAACAACGATTTCTTTAACCACTGAAGTAAGTTTATTTGTGCACACACTAATCTTCTAGAATGTAATATCAATAAATTTTACATGTATTCAAAACCTGTGATTTATTATATATTACAATAATCACATCATAATAAAATTTATTTAATATTATTATATATTTTGTCAAAAAAATATATGTAAATTTACTATAATTGAAACATTAATGATACAATAATAATAATATATACAAATTATAATCATTGTTAAGTATTCGAGTGGATATGTTCAAATAAGAATGGACTTATGATTTTTGCTGGGGCGAAACATATTTTTCTATAGAAAATATTTAATATACATGGAAGAACTAATATTTTGATAGAGATAGGAATTCAATTTTGAATTTATAGAACGATAGTGTAAAGTTAAAGAAATCATATGCAACATTTTTAAGGATTAAAGTAGACACAGACAGTGAAAGGTGAAATAAAATAAGAAAATAATTCATTTTGAAAGATAAGTACTGTTGTGAAAAAAAAGAGACTAAAAAGGACATGTGAAAGGCACATAAACTATTACAAACAATGTTTATGTGACGAGAGTTTGAAGGATCATCGGCCTTCTTCAAGAGATGCAGTGATTTCAGTACTAATCTTCGCCTTGACGTAGAAGCTGTGCTAGAAAGTGTTCTCCTCGTCAGAAAAGCAGGCTGCTTCGGAACCGGAAGGCTCACAGTTTCGCTACCGAGCAAGACAACATCGTTGGACATGTTGGGGCGTTCGCCGGGATCTTCCTGCACGCATAACAGCCCGACATTGCAAGCACCTTGACACCTCGCTTGCGTCGCAACTCGTCGTCTGTTAAATCCAACCCCTTACCTTCTTGCCACAATCTCCATGCCTGCAAAATCATTTACAATTTCCAATTGTCATAGTTTTCAGAACCGGACCGGTTAGCGAATCGGCCATGCTACCGGTTCACTGGTTCAATCGGTCGAACTGGTCCGACCGGTCGGAAGAATCGGACGACGTCATAATTATTTAAAAAATTAAATAAAAATACCAAAAATATTTAATAAAAAATAAGTTTTTATATCACAATTCATATTCAAAGCAAGTCATAACATATATAAGTTAAAAACCATAAAATCAAGTGAAACAAAATGATTCAAATTAACTACAATATAATATTTAAGGTAAAACATATTAAATAATAAATATAATTATATAACTATAATTAAAAAATAAATTTGGGGCTAAAAAAATCATAACAAAATGATATTGTTTGGTTTAAATTTTTTTTTAAAAACAATCTCACATGGCTAAGAAACATAGAAGATCATCCCAACTAACTTCTATAAATAATAGAGGTAATTTGACATTCAAAATTATGGAGCCTTTTGGTAAGTATTGAGTGAACTATTCTTTCACTTCAATTAAGCTCGAATTTTAGGCTTCAATCGAGCTTCTAATTTTTTTTTTGAGTTCAAGCCTTTTCGAGTTTAAGTTTCAATATTATATTTCGAGTTCGAGTTAAACTTCATAATTTTTAGCTCGTGAGTTTGAATCGAGTTGAGCTTACTTTTAAATTTTTCAAGTTCGAGTCGAGCTCAGCAATATTCGAGTTTGACTTGGCTCGTTTAACAAACGACGTTATTTGGTTTAATTTTAAAAAAAATTGGCGGTTTTTCTCGGTTTTTTCCGGTTTTCAGCCGGTCCGGTTTGAACGGTTCAGCGGTTCTGGCCGGTTCATTAGTAGCGGTTCAACCGGACTAGATTGAACCGGACTAGACAACGGTTCCCGATTAAACCGGCCGGTCCGGTCCGGTTTTCAAAACAATGCCAATTGTAAATCAAGAATACATGACATGGTTGAATGCAACGTTCATCTCTACTTACATAAGCAATTAGGCTTGGTGTATTTTCCACATGATAAAACCTCAGGTTCTTTTTCCCGCTAATGATCTTGAGCATCACTACACCAAAGCTGAAAACATCTGATTTTACCGAGAAAATCCCTTCTAATGCATATTCCGGTGCCATATATCACTGCATTTCAAAACAATCTGTACGATTAGATATGCAGATGGAAAAAAGGAACAGATTTGTGCTGCTGCAAATAAGAAAAATAAGGAACTCACTATGTTCCGACTACTCTTCCTGTGCTTCCTTCAGTTTGTTTTCCTTGGATCATCCGTACGAAGCCGAAATCAGATATTTTCGGATTCATCTCTTTGTTAGACTTGACAAAGTTGACCCGAATCTGATTACCCAAACCGATTTATCCAACTCAATACCCGACATTAACTCAAACATGATAATCAAATTTGATCTTATGCCCAATCCAAAATTTAGCAAAACCGAAATCAACCAGAACCGAAACTAAAATTAACCCGAACCAAAAGCAACCCGAATCGAAATTAACCCAACCCGAAAGTAAACCGAATAGATTGAAATTGTTAAAAGTTATTAAACGATAAAAGTTATTTTCAATAATAAAAAAATAATTTAAATAAAATTGATAATTTATTAATAATATTAGATTTATAATAAAATAATAGAAAATTTAAGAGGAATATAAAAGTAATAATTTAATTGTAAGATTTAAAACAATAATAAATAAAGTTTAATTATCTTACTTGTTATAAAAATATTAGATTTATAATAAAAATAATAGAAAATGACTAAAATAAATGAAATAATATTAGATTTATAATAAAAAATATATATAAATTTTACTTATATTAAGTCTAAAACTTAACAAATAAAGTTATGTATTATTTTTTAAAATTTAATAAAAATATTAAATTTATAATTGGAAATAAAAATTTTAATAAAAAATTTATTTATTTATCAAATAGTTCTCATTATAAACTTTTCATACGAGATCAATATAAAATTTTGATATCAAATTCTAACACGTATTATAGGATCATATTTGTGTCAAATTATCGATTTATCATCTTTAAATGATGGTTTAATTTAAAATATTGAACGATTGTGAATTGAAATTAAACCTAAATGATAAAATTAACAAATAAAAAGACATATTTTTACAAGTATATATCAATTATTATATATATACTTGATTTTGATTAGAGTCACAACCAATTCAACCTGAATTGTGCTGTTCTAAAAGTTGACCTAAACCGAAAATCAATCGATCCAATATTGACTCGACCCGAAATCTAACCTATCCAGTATTAACTCAACCTAAAAATCAACCGATCTGTTATTAACCCGACTAGATATTGACCTTATCCAAAAATCAACCGACCCGATATTGATCCGAACCGAAAAACAACCGATCCAATAATCACCCGACCTGATCTGATTCACCGTACACCCGAACTAGATCCGAACCAGATCTGATCCGATCTGAACAAAATTAAACTGAATTTAATCTAAACCAGAAATTACTCGACTCGAAATTACCCGACCCAAACCCGAGCCAAATGACCCGTTTACCACCTCTACTCTTTGTCTAGTAATATGTTACTAGTTTTCAGATCTCTGTGGATGATTCTCAGCCTAGAATCTTGGTGAAGATAAAGCAATCCTCTAGCGACTCCCAAAATGATGTTGAACCGTGTCGCCCAGTCCAATTGCAGGCTCAGCGATTGTCTTTAAAATTCGCCATCGAAGACCATAACATGTATATCAGATATTTTCTCTCTATGTTTGCACAATAAAATAGTCAATCTGGATTGAATAAGACGAGGTTTCAATGACTAACCAAATAAGAAAGAGTCTTAAGCTTTTGTTGGGCATATATTCATACAGTAGAATCTTTTCCTCTCCTTGTATGCAGTAGCCTAATAGCCTCATAAGATTCCGGTGTTGAAGTTTAGCAATCAACACAACTTCATTTTGAATTCATCCGAGCCCTGTCCGGAAACACTCGCCGCCAGCCTCTTTATAGCTATTTCTTGTCCTCCTGGAAACTTACTACCCTGGGATCGTAGTCATTAGCCTTTTTTGCTGCATTTGTTAAAATAGTATGCAGATTGTCTATAGAATCCGCGGTGCACTAAATTAGCCAACATAAAAGTATTGATCTATGGAAAGAGTGAAGAGTAAAGTACCTAAATCCAACAGTGGCAAACGGACATAGAGATCGTAGCCATCAACTTGGTCGTTCTGAATATTTTCGAGTTCGTCTGTCCATATTAACCATGAAAGTTGCCTGTTAGGGTCACTAGCATTTACTGAATATGCCTGGCACTGGCTGTTACCGAGGCATTCGACCTCACAGGCTCTCTCATCATCAACATCAAACGGTAGTTCTGGATATTTCCAGTTTCATCCTTTTCAAGCTCAAGAAGTAGATCCCGTGAGATGCAGAGTTTCTTGAGCAACCTTCCTCAAATTCTCCAGCATCCCATTTCTCGGGGAGTTGAGGTTTGAAACCAGGTGAACATTTGCGTGGTAACTTGTTGTTGACGTTACAGGTGCCAAAGTTTCCACAGTAATTGTACTTACCGCACCTATCCCTTGGCTCCCACCATATCAATGACCTTTTATTCATTTACGAATCGAACTTCCAATACTACAACTCTCCGGTGAGATTCATCACCAGACTTTCGTGCATGTGAACTAGTGTGTTCTCCCCGCTAAAATTCAAGTTGTTGAGTAATTCAAAGATTTCACCTGACCCCCGCCATGATCTCCGGTAAGTGATACTCTTGTTCATGACAACCAATCGACTTGCTCGCGAATCTTGTTTGAACATAAAGTCCACTGGTCCATGAAATTAAAACTAAATTACCATCCATATATCTTCATACCCCAGAAGAAATGTATCTGTTGGATAGTCAAAGCTCTGCCATAGGTTTTCCTTAACCCATCACCATCATACATAATTATTAATTAAATCACTAGTATAATAATAATAATGAGGCAGTGTTGGATGGATTTTATATGATCATAAAAACTTCCCCAATCATTTTCATCGTTTTCCTTGGCGGTTCAACCACCGTCTTGATATCGACATTACCCACTTTGCATCCAGCTCCACTATTAGATTAGATATGCAAGTTCTTTTGCTAGTGCCAGACCCGAGGTTAAACTTAAGAGTTCTTGCCATATGTGCTAAATGATAATTTTATTAAAAATTGTTTGATAATAAAATAAATAAAAAAAGTAATAGATTGATGACCGGTATTATGATTTATCCTATATTATATTTTCATAAAAAAATATTATTCTCCTCCCAAATATATTGATTTGAATTGAGAGGATGAGAATGATTTAGTATTAACAGTTATCTTAATCTTTCTATTTACAAAATTTACTATTTTCTAAAAAGATATTTTATTATTTTTCTCATCGCACTCTTTGGAAAACCGAAAAATCGCCAAAACCAATCGTATTATTATGGTCCTAAAAATCGCATCCAGCGATCAATTTGGTAAAATATTCTCCAGTGCGCAGAGATGAAAATATCGCCGATGTTGCGGGACCCCAAAATCATTTGGCCGCCACGTTGATAAACCTCAGCTCTGCTTCGGATAAATGCCAGCTAAGCGAATCGATATCTCCACTCCCAACCGACACGTCACCGTCTAACCCCAAAGACCTGTCGTGCTACTTTTTAAATACTTTTATTTTATTTGAATTAAAGAAAATAAAAAGATATATTTGGGTTCAAGCAAATGCACCTGACCGAGGAAACAGAGGCGAGGCCCGAAGAGTTCCAACACGTTGCACCACATAAGATCTTGCTCTTTTATATTGCGACACCTGGCAGGACTTCGAGCCACACACCCTTTGGCCTTTCCACTTCCTCTTCACACAAAAAACCCTAGACTCCAGCGTACCAAAATTTGCTTCTCCTCCGTACCTTTTACTGATTTACAATTTTATCCCCCTTTCTTTTTCGTCTTGATATAAATCAAATTTCGTCGTTCACGTTTATTCATAATTTGAAGTGGACGATAGAATTTGAAATAGGAACTGGGGGGTGAAAAGGTATTTTCACGAAGAATATATCTACATATCATTTATATTAGGAAAATATAATTAATTAAGTAAAAATATCATTCGAGTGGTGGTTGGTTAATTGCGAATTGCGAAGGTAAACCTGTAATTTAAAGCAAAGGGTAAGGCTGTTCCTATAGGCCACTGCAAGTTGTTTGGTTCTTTTTCTTCTCTCTCCCCTTCTCTCTGAATCGCCTATTTTGTGTAATACACAAGAGAGAGAAAGAAACGTAGGAATTCTTTCGAGAAAACGAAAGGAGAAAATCGCTGGTGGATCGAGGGGAAATATATCTGTGATTTGGTTTAAATGAGGAAGGAGATGAAGAGCTGTGAGCTCTGCAAGTTGGCGGCGACGACGTATTGTGAATCGGACCAAGCCAGTTTGTGCTGGGGCTGCGACGCTGTAGTCCATGGAGCCAACTTCCTCGTGGCGAGGCACGTGAGGTGTCTTCTCTGCCACGATTGTCAGTCTCCCACTTCGTGGAGAGCTACTGGTTCCAAGCTCGGTCACACGGTCTCCGTCTGCGAGAGGTGCGTTAACGGCGGTGATCGGGAAGAGAGTGAAGCTGAAAATGACGCTGACGGAGGTATCAACAACGACGATGAAGGAGATGACGATGAGGATGCGGGAGGTGATTCCGATGATGACGTGTCAATTGAAGATGATGTGGAGGACGGAGATAATCAGGTGGTGCCGTGGTCATCAGCAGATGCGGATACACCTCCGCCGCCGTCCAGTTCTTCTAGTAGCGGAGATTATTCCGCTGGTGAAAGAGAAGTCTCTAGATCAACAAATTTGTTCTCGTTGAAAAGGTCGAGAGAAAATGCTTCAGATAACTCACAGGTTTGTTTTCTCTTTTGATATCTGTTCAGTTTTAGATTCCTTTTGTTTTTCTTTCGTTCAGATCTTTTAATCTTTTTCATGAAATCAAAATTTAATAATTCTTTTAAAAATTATTCTTAAACAGAACGATCCAGACCGTTTATCTCCTAAACGGAGATACGGTTTACAGAAAAGAGGATGAATCCGTTTCGGTTAACTCCAGGTGATTGAAAGAACAACAGATCAAACCGGTGCAGTTTCAGTCCGAGAAGCACGATCGAGTAGAGAGTCATTAGGAGAAAAAAGTGAAAGTGTATGAGAAAATCCAGTAAAAAATCTTTAAAAATCGTTAGTAATTGTAATCTCTTAGCCGTCCGATTTGAGTTGGTTTGCCTGCTATTTCTGATCTTCTCTAACCCACTCTAACAATAGTCATTGATAGGAATGTAGACACCCCTGTAGGCCTGTAGTGTGGGTTTAATTGTACTAATAATCCAAGAAATTTCAAGAGTGCTAATTACTGCAACAACAAAGTGTGATCTTTTATCAGATTAATGTTGTTTCTTTAGCAGCCTTAAGGATGTGTGTGAAGCAAGTGCAGCAGCAGATAAAGGGTCCGCGTCCTTGATTCATTGAACGACATCCACTAATAAAGGTGGCTGCTCTCTATCCAGACTATCCATTCGTTTCACAGCGTCAGAATTTTGTCAGTGAAATGCCATGGACAATCACAAGGCACGTATACCAATTTCATTTTTTTTTGTTCTAGAATATATTTTGTGCATAGACAGGATTGTGCTTGTCGATCACTTGTAACGCATCTTCTTCTACTAAAAACAAGCAAGGAGGGCTATGAGTGTAGTGCGTGTACTTGTTGTGTATTGCCTAATATGTAAACAGACATTTCATTTCATGTGCCTACATACGTCTTATCGTTTGAGTGTGGGTCATTTTACCACATAACTTTGGTCATGGGATTGGTCCCTTCGATTGTCCCACTGCAATTAGCACATACCAAACTGAACTGTGCCAAAGATTTCCAATCACAATGCTCTTCCATATTTATTTTCTTCTTTTCTACCTTTGCAACAAACCGTGCAGGATAAAAGCATTAATGTCTCTTGGAGTTCATAATTTTGCTTTTCTCATATATATATATATATATATATATATATATGAGAAAATAACCTCAGTGACCAAAAATGCCTTATAATATACGATTTTATATATATATGAGAAAATAACCTCAGTGACCAAAAATGCCTTATAATATACGATTTTAACCAATTTTTTTTTGGATTTGTCAAAATGACCAACTAAATCGTAATGCGATCAATAATTCGTAACGCGATCTCCGGTATCGCAAATCAGTTTTCAGATTCGCAACGCGATTCTGACTATCGCATTGCGATTTCCTAAATTCGCGTTGCGATTTTCCTAATTCGCAATGCGAATACGTAAATCTCAACGCGAATACGTAAATAGCAATGTGATTACGTAAATCAAAATGCGAATACGTAAATAGCAATGCGATTACGTAAATCGCAATGCGAATACGTAAATCGCAATGCGAATCTGACTATCGTAATGCGATTTACATAGCGTCATTAGTATTAACGTGTATTTTTTTTTCAAATTCCAAACAAGAATATATTAATATATCGGAACACTGAACCGTCCACAGTATATTCTGTAATCGCAACTCATAACCTAAAACCTTAAATCACAACTCAGTCTCATCTTCATGTCTCACTCTCTAAGGCGATATCCGTCCCCATCTCCGACGAAATCAGTCCCCACGACGATAACAGTCTCCATCTATGGCGAAATCATTCACGGTCAGAAATGGAAAATCAACCAAATCAACCACCGAGGGTTAGTTTTTTTAATTATTTTTATTTTAAAATTTTTGAATTATTATTAGATTTTTCATATTGAAATTGATGATAAGTTTACTAGTGTTTTCAATAATAGATTAACCATTTCACTTAGATTGCTTATTATATTCATTCTATTGCTGCCAATACTGCTAAACTGTTTAGACTTTAACCCTGTGAAGTTAGTATTTGTCTTTGTTTTGTCTTTTGGTTGAAGTAATGCAATCCATTCAAGTTTCTTTCAATTTTAGTATTTAAAACCGAGAATGACTATCGCAACGAGTGAATCGCAACGCGAAAATGACTATCGCAATGCGAATTTGACTATCGCAACGAGAGAATCGCAATGCGATTTTCATTTCGCGTTGCGATTCTTGCGTTGCGATAGTTAAATTCGCGTTGCGATAGTCATTTTCGTGTTGCGCTTTTCATTTTCGTGTTGCGATTTAAAGTTTCAGAAACTATTATTCTTCTGTAAATTGAAACTTGAATGAATTGCATTACTTCAACCAAAAAACAAATACTAAATTCACAGTGTTGCCAATTTAAGTTTGAAGAATAAACTACTACTCTTTATGTTTATTGTTTATATCTTCACAGTGTAGCGTTTGGTATATCTAAATTGGTATGTATATTGTTTTTGCAGAACTTTTATTCGGCTCAATTGACCTTAAGAAATAAAGTAAGCCTGGCCAAAACAATTGCGTCGAAACTTTCACCTGCACAAAGAAAAATATTTGAGGATACTTGCTTCGGGCCATGGCTGAAAGTACAACATCCGGGTGGAGATGCTATGTTGACCCATCTGTTTCTTCAAACCATGACTAGCGATCTACCAGAGACTATACAACGTCGTGATGAAGAGATATGGTTTGATTTTCCACCGGCGTATACGTGTTTTGGGCGGGAGGAGTTTTGCTTAATCACCGGTCTACGCTTCGGACACGATGATGTAGATCGGTACACTAGACATATTACCCGCCTATCATGGTTTTCCCGGGTTTTTCCTGAGCAGTCAACGGAGAAGTCGAATTTACACGTGGAAGACTTGATGAGATTATTGAATAAGAAAGATGGTTTTACTCGGATGGATGACGTTGATGTTGTCCGAGTATGCCTTCTAATACTTTTGCAAGCCGACTTTTTAGGCAGAGAGGCCCAACAACCTATTCCTAATGATCTAATTAAATTGGTAGAGGACCTAAATGCATGGAACCTGTTTCCGTGGGGTTCGTATCTATGGAGAGCTACATGGAATAAGTTGTCGTCTGTCTTTAATGATCGGAAAAGTTTGCGTGGCGATGGTTCTAAATACACTTTGTCAGGCTTTATTTGGGCCTTTAAGGTAATAATTTTTATATAATGTTTCCAAAATTATAATTAATTCTTTAACAATTACTAATGTTTGTTATTATATTGTTTGTAGATTTGGATATTTGAGGCCTTTCCCGCCATGCAGACATATGCATTAAAAACTTCTAATGATATTCCTAGGGCTATTTCCTGGAAGAGGAAACGGTCCTTGCAGCAATGGAAAGATTTACTACCATATACTACAATAAATAATGTAAGTTAACACAAATACTACCATATGTTTATAAACAAGTTATTACTAGTACACGTTTAACTTTGTTTGAGCTTTTATATTGTTAGGAGGCCAACACTCCATTACAGAGGTTGACACCCACGGAAGCTGAGCTTGCCACTGATTGGTGGTAAGCTAGTAAGTTTTTTTTTATGGCACGGATGATGAGCAGCCACCACTTCGAGAGCCATCACCTTACCCAGAGCCATCACCTGATCGACCCGAATATACACCTCCACAACGAGAGTCATCACCTATTATGTCACATCATCGAGCCTCTTCTCCACCATCACCTCATGATAGGCGACCGGCAAAGATGTCACGACGTTTATCTCCCTGTTCTCAACCTCCACCTCGACGGGATGAGTTAGGGGAGTTACGTAATGAGGTCAATGCCTTGCGTGAGGAGGTCGGTACTTTACGCGATGACAATGGTGCATGGCGTGTTGAGGTGTCTACTTTACGTGGTGAGGTAGCAGCTCTACGTGAGATTGTAGCATCGTTGCAGAATGAGGTTCATACTCTACGCAACGAGGTAAGTTTAATATTTTTCATATTTAACTTGATGATAAATTTACTCGTAATTTCACTTAGATTGCTTAGTAAATTCATTCGGTTGCTGCCAATACTGTTTAACTGTTTATTCTTTAACCCTGTGAAGTTAGTATTTGTTTTTTATTGTCTTTTGGTTGAAGTAATGCAATCCATTCAAGTTTCAATTTGCAGAAGAATAATAGTTTACTATCGCAATGCGAAAATGACTATCGCAACGCGAAAATGACTATCGCAACGCGAAAATGACAATCGCAACGAGAGAATCGCAATGCGAAAATGACTATCGCAATGCGAATTTGACTATCGCAACGAGAGAATCGCAATGCGAAATGAAAATCGCATTGCGATTCTCTCGTTGCGATAGTCAAATTCGCATTGCGATAGTTATTTTCGCATTGAGATAGTCATTTTCGCGTTGCGATTTTAAGTTTCAGATTCTATTCTTATTCTGCAAATTGAAACTTGAATGAATTGCATTACTTCAACCAAAAGACAAATACTAACTTCACAGTGTTTAAAATTTAAGTTTCAAGAATAAACTACTACTCTTTATGTTGTCATTGAACCTGCACTAAACCTATATGTTGTCCTTTTAAATGTTTATATAAGTGCTTACTTCTGGAATGTTATCTGATGCATTTTGTGAACAATGATATAATAATGACTTGGGTGAATACCGTGCAAGTTTGAAATATATTTGTCTTTGTTCTCACTATTTAATATCATGTCTGTTTATTTACTGATTTATGTATTAATTTATTTTTAGCGGCCCGCTAAGGTGGATGCTCTACGTCGGGTTTTTTTTGCAAGACGGAGTTCACGCATCAGACGGCGTGCACGTGCCAGTACGTCTCTATTCACCCCAATAGTGCGAAGAATCCGTAAGAAAAAGCCCGACTCACCTGTCATTGTTCAAGAGGCCTCCCCTATCGTTCAAGAGGCCCCTATCATCCTTCAAGAGTCCCCTCCCACCGTTCAAGAGGCCATTGTCATCGTTGAAGAGGTCCCTCCCAACATTCTAGAGCCCGATTCATACGGCATAATATATCGAATTATTGAGAAGCCCCCTCACATGCCGGACATGATGATTGACTATTGGCTTTCGTATAAGTTACCGGCCAGTACCATTCCGGCAGATGAAGTGGAGAGGAAACAACTACCGGAAACAATTCTGGATAATACCCTTTGGGCTAAGACCGCAGTTAATTTTTATCTACATGAGCGGAGCCAAGGGTGTTACGCTGACATATACAAACTCAACGATGATATGCATTTGTTGATTGAACGGTCTTGGTGGGGTGTATTATCAGGGGTTGAAGACAACGGCTATTTCGATGGGGGGTAAGTCTTATATTTCTTATATTTCAGTTTGATTAATTTTTTTTAAAATTTATGTAATTCACTAATATATGTCTTTTTTTGTAAAACAACATATTGATGCATGGGTGACACGTCTTCTAATTGTATGGAAATTAAAGAAAAATATTAAAAAACGCGATATACAATTATGCCGACGTCTTTTCAGGTAGTTCACTTGAAGAATCAACGACAGGAATCATATGTGTTGGCTAATGGACAAGCTAAACTTTATCCTGCATGGTGGGAGGTCGATAAGGTTAGTATATTTGTTTAAATATTTTAAGGGTGTTCATAAATAAGTGCGCGCAATTTGAATTATTATATTTCGATGCAGGTGTTTATCCCTGTTTTAGACCGTACTCATTGGCTTCTCGTCGAGCTTCAACTCTCATCCCTAAAGACAATAGTATATGACAGCATGATAAATTACATATCATTGTCTGATTTGAGAGATATGATTAAGGGATGGAGCTCTCATTTGGCTAAATTCTTGGATGCAATTGATTATTGGACTAAGTCTGGAAACAAGAAGCCA